TTTGTATGTTCATCTTGTACCCTGATGAATTGGTCAACTATGTCCAATAGTTTTCTTGCTGAGTCTTTAGGGTTTTCTAGGTATACCATCATATCATCTGCATAGAGAGATAATTTTACCTCCTCTTTGCCAATTTGGATACCTCTTACTTCCTTCTCTTGTCTTATTGCTCTAGCTAAGACAGTACAATATTGAATAAGAGTGGTGAGAGTGGGCATCCTTGCCTAGGATTTTATTCAGTATTTTTGCATCTATGTTGATAAGAGATATTGGCCATTAGTTTTCTATTTTGGTGGTGTCTTTTCCTGGCTTTGGTATCAAGGATATGTTTGTTTCATAGAATGAATGTGGGAGAATTCCATCTTTCTCTATTTCCTGAAATAGTTTATGTTGAATTGGTGACAATTCTTCTTTGAATGTTTGATAAAATTCATTTGTAAAACCATCTGTTCCAAGGCTTTTTTTGGTGGGAAGTTGTTGTATTACCTTTTCAATTTCTTCTTTTGTAATGGGTCTGTTGACATGTTCAATTTCAGTTTCTGTTAGTTTAGTTAGTTTGGGCATTTCTAGGTATTTGTCCATTGCCTCTAGGTTTTCATATTTGTTTGAGTATAATTTTTCATAATACTCTAATTTTAAATTTTTTATTTTCATTAGTTCTTTTGTGATGTTGCCTGACTCGTCTCTTATTTGCATTATTTGTGTTTTTTCTTTCTTTTCCTTTGTGAGTTTTGCTAATGATTTGTCTATTTTGTTAAGCTTTTCAAAGAACCAACTCCTAGTTTTGTTGATAGTTTCAATTGTTTTTTGTTTTTCTATTTCATTTATTTCAGCTCTAATTTTTAAAATTTTGCTTTTTTTAGAGGGTGTCGGGTTTTCTTGCTGCTCTTTTTCAGTTTGCTGAAGATGTTGAGTTAGAGAGTCAATGGTCAATTTTTCTTGCCTTTTTATGTGTTTGCTTATTGCTATAAATTGACCTCTAATTACTGCTTTGGCTGTTTCCCAGAGGTTCTGGTAAGTGGTGTTTTCATTGTCATTTGTTTCAAGAAACTTTTAAATTTCGTTTTTTTATTTCTTATATTATCCAGTCGTGTTCAAGCAAGGAGTTGTTCAGCTTCCAAATGCATGTTTTTTTCTACTTTATCATCCAGTTATTAATTTCTAATTTTGTAGCATTATGGTCTGAAAAGATACTTTGTATTATTTCCATGTTTTTTTTAATTTATTGATGCTTGCCTTGTGTCCCAGAATGTGCTCTATTCTGGAGAATGTTCCATGTACATTGGAGAAGAAAGTATACTGTGGTTTTTTCCCAGTTTTGTTAATGTTTATTTTATGTATTTTGCAGGTCCTTCATTTGGTGCATAGATATTTATTATTGTTATGTCCTCTTGTTCTATTGACCCTCTCAGCATTATGTAGTGACCTTCCTTGTGTTTTGTGATGGTTTTTCATTGATATTTATTTTATCAGAGATTAATA